GCAATTCTGTGTTTGTGGCATTTGTGAGTCTACTACCGCTCTAGTGATTTCATATATGGCTGGGTGCATAGTAAGCATACAGTGCAAACAATGGCTATGATCAGAAATGCCCCCCTCGATGGCCTGGATTCACTTTCATAATTTTTTTTAACATTTATTTATTTTTTGAGAGACAGAGAGAGACTAAGCATGAGCGGGGGAGGGGCAGAGAGAGAGGGAGACAGAATCCAAAGCAGACTCCAGGCTCTGAGCTGTCAGCACAGAGCCCGATGCGAGGCTTGAACTCACGGACCCCGAGATCATGACCCTGAGCTGAAGTTGGATGCTTAACTGACTGAGCCACCTATGCGCCCCAACCTGGATTCATTTTCAAAACAAACCTTCACTGAATGCCTTATATGGGTCAATCAGAGTCACCAGGGACACAGAGGCCAGATGAAAGTCTGCCCCCGGAAGGCCACAGGCTGACCACAGAGACGGACACATAACTAAGGGGAACAGACAGGGGGTGAGAAGGTGCCCTCTCCCTGCGGATGTGTTGAGTGTAAAATCAGAGACTCCATATGAAGATAAAATCAGCCACTGACCCACTGGCAGACTTACACTCAGCCACCCACCGGCCTCAAATTACTAAACATTATTCCCAGGCCGGCAAACATGGGAGCTTCTGTCCTTCATCGCAGGTAGCACCGAGTCTTGTTTACTGTTATAGAAGAAGGTGGAAATCAGACATGCCTGTGTTTGAATCTTAATTCTATTGATTACCAGTTCGGGCAGGTAATCTAACCTCCCTGAGCATGGTTTCTTCAACCTCACGGTGGAGGATTATAATGTCTGACTTTTGTTGAGAGGACACTAGAGATACAAGTACAAAAAGGAAAACTCTTGGGGAGCTTGGCTGGCTCAGTAGGTAAAGCATGTGAACTCTTGATCTCTAGGTCGTGAGTTCAAGCCCCATGTTGGGCATAGAGCTTACATCGAAAAAAGAGAGAAAGAAGGAAAGAAAGATGAAGGAAGGAAGGGAGGGAGGGAGGAAGGGAGGAATGAGGGAGGGAGGGAGAAAAGAAAACTCTGAGCCTTAGGAAGCACAGTCTGGCTGAGAGAGATTGATATGTCATAGCTGTACACTCAAAGCTATTAAAAAATATCTTATTATTTGTTGAGGAAAAAAAGAAATTACTGGTTGTATTAGTCAAGATTCCGCAGAGAAAGAATACCGATAGGATGTGTATATATACTGCAAGATATTTATTACAAAGAATTAGCAAATCCAAAACCGATAGGGTGGGCCTATAGGCTGTAGACCCAGGAGAAGCTTTCTGTTGGAATCTGAAGGCTGTCTATTGTAGGCTGAAGAGCTTATGTTGCAGATGAAGTTCAAAGACCATCTGCTGGAGAAGTCTGTCTTTTTCAAGAGAAGCCACTCTTCTTTTCAGGCCTTCAACTGACTGGATGTGGCCCACCCACATTTTGGGATTATATCTTTTTACTCAAAGTCCACCAATTTAAATGTTAATCTCTCCCCAAAACACCCTCACAGAGTAATGTTTGATCAAGTACCTGGGCACCCCATGGCTCGGCCAAGTTGACACGTAAAATTAACCATCACACTGAACAAAGAACGTCAATGCATACATGTGTCCAAATGAAAAGAGATACATCTAGAAAGAGATCACCAAAACACTAACAGTGGTCACCTCTCAGAGTCAAGCTCTCAAGTTCTTTTTAATCTCCCTTGTACGTTTATGTACTGTTTCATTTTCTGTAGAATGGGTGCTATTACATTTTAATTAGCATTATCATCAGCACTATCATTATTACAAAAGCAATCAAGGGTTTTAAAAAATACTCTATTATGGGGCTCCTGAGTGGCTTAGTTGGTTACGTGTCTGACTCTTAGTCTCGGCTCAGGTCATGGTCTCATGGGTTCATGAGTTCAAGCCCCACATTGGGCTTTGTCCTGGTAGTGCAGAGCCTGCTTGGGATTCTCTCTCTCCCTTTCTGTCTGATTGTTCCCCTCTCTCATGCTCTTCTTTCTTTCTCTCTCAAAATAAATAAATAAACTTAAAGAAATAAAAAATACAAGTGCGTTGGCGGCTCGGTTTGTTGGGGTTCTCACTTTGGCTCAGGTCATGATCTCACAGGTTGTGGATTCGAGCCCTGCTTAGGGCCCTATGCTGGCAGCTCAGAGCCTGGAGCCTGTTTCAGATTCTGTGTCTCCCTCGCTCTCTGCCCCTCCCCCACTCTTGCTCTGTCTCTATGTCTCTCAAAAATAATAAAACGTTAAAAAAGAAATAAAAAATAAAAAACACTCTATTTCCTGGCATATAGGAAATGCTGGGGAAATGTCAGAGTGCTGGAACCCTTCCCCAAAAGGCCAGCTGACCAAAAGCTATCTCAGGATGCCTGATATTCTACCAGTGGAGTTTTTTTCTTCAAATGGAAGAGGTTGCTTTCTTCTTAAAATACAAGTCGTGGCAGAAGAAATATCAATTGAAGACTTACATGTTCTTTTGTTTCTTTTTAAGGTTTTATTTTTGAGTAATCTCAATACCCAACGTGGGGCTTGAACTCACAACCCTGATATCAAGAGCCACATGCTCTACTGATTGAGCCAGCCAGGCGCCCCGAAGACTTACATGTTTTTTTTTTTTTTAAGTTTATTTATTCATTTTGAGAGAGAGAGAGAAAGAGAGTGCAAACAGGGGAGGGGCAGAGAGGGGGGAGAGAGAGAGAATCCCAAGCAGGCTCTGCACTGTCAGCATGGAGCCTGATGTGGTGTTGAACTCAAGAACCACGAGATCATGACCTGAGCCAAAATCAAGAGTCAGATGCATCATGGATTGAGCCACCTAGGCGTCCCAGACTTAACATGTTTTTTTGATGAAGGAATGACTTGGTTTGGTTTTTCCTTAGAACACACAGTGAGAGTTGGAAAGCAATTATGTGACCAAGGGGTGTCCAGGAGATGCCAGAAATGGGGCAGCCATGGTCACAGAGGGATGCCAACAGATGACAGGAATAAATCTCACCAGGTGCAGGCCTGATGGGAACCTGAGTTCTTCTATAGGCTTGACTTGGTTACCTAAGCCAGGGAACGTGTGGAAGACTTCCCTGACCAAGCTCCCTTGATTTCCTTCTCCGTTCACACTTCCAAGTGGAGTGAACAGTGGGTGCAACTCTTCAACTACCCACTAAACAGAATATTGATAATGATGATACAGGAACACGGGTGAAGAGTCCCACTCAAACATTTGTTTGTTAGTAAAATATCTACCATGTGGCAGGAGAGGAAGACGTTGCTCTGGAATGACCCACTGCTCTGTGCAAATAAACCACTGAAACAATTTGTGAACAAACTCAACTGAGAGGACTCATTCATTCTGAAATGTACGCTGAATGTGGCCATTCTGCAGACCATTAACTCCAGTAATTACAACAGTGATTCAAGAGATAAGGCTCCTTGCCTTGGACAGACACCTCCCTCCCTCCCTCCCTCCCTCCTCTGCGCCCCATCTGCAAAGAGAGGGAAAGAAGGAAAAAACCTAGCATACACTGAACATTTGTGATATGCCTGCATCTTCCTATGTGATATCTCTACAACAACCCTTTGAGGTAGGGATGGTTTTTTATAGATTAGCAAACCGAGGTTCGCAGGGGATCACCGTGTCGAAGGTCAAACTGCAAACAAATAGCAGGGCTGGAATTTAGGATCTTCAGGCTTCAAATTCAGGGTATTCTATCTTGCTCCAGCAGTTTCTTCTCACGAAGTAACTCAGTAAAAATAACAAGAACATCAAACAAATAAGTAATAATGTTTCAGTACTCTCTTTGTTCGCTTTCTGGTCCCTAGGGTTCTTCCCAGCATGGTGGATGTGGATGTGTAATGTGTTTCATTTTTAAGGGGGCGAAACTCCTGGAGAACACAGACTGGTCTGATCTTTCCTAGAGTCCCCAAAGCACTGGAGCAAAGATCCAACAGAGTGGAAAAAACAGAGATGCATTTCGGTGGCCACACCTTGAACACAGGTCCATATCCAGGCGCTGCCACTTACTAGCTAGGAGTTCTGTGCAAAATATAACCTCCCTGAGCCTCTAATTCCTTATCTGTGAAACAGAGATGATGATCATAGTAGTACCTACTTCACAGTGGCATTAGGTAGATTAAGTCAGTTAATACAAAAGACTTAAAATGGTGTTTGACACACATGTGTGTTCACTTAATGAATGTTAGCTTTTTGGGGCACCTGGGTGGCTCAGTCCATTGAGCATCTGACTCTTGATTTCGGCTCAGGTCATGATCTCAAGGGTTCGTGGGATCAAGCCCCGCATCCGGCTCTGCGCTGACAGTGTGGAGCCTGCTTGAGATTCTCTCCCTCCCTCTTTCTATGCCTCTCCTCCTGCACACGCCCACTCAAGGTCTCTCTCCAAATAAATAGACTAAAGAATATATGTGTTAGCCTTTTATGTGTTGGGGGATTTGAAGTTCCCAGGGCTTTAATTTTCTCTCGCTGGGTTCTTCTAGGTGCAGAGGTCTTCAGATATGTACTTGTCCCTCTCGACCCTCATAAAATAATTTGTAATTTCATAGTGTGCCATAATTTCGAAGCAGTTTTCACTCATGACTGCAGATGATCGTAACTACACGAGTTGGTGCTCAATGAATATTTGATGATTGAATGAAAGCAGAAATTTTAGAGACTATGTTACAGAGAGCAGCAAAAACTCGCTCAAGGTCACCCAGGGAGATGGCAGCACAGCCCACACTTACTGACAAAGAATTCGTGTGCTTGCCCCTTCCCTCCCTGCCTACCATAGAGGTTCAGTCCCATGGCAGTTCCCTTTCAAGGGTCTCTGTCCCCCACCCGCTTCCAATGGTATGTCCCCTTGCTTGAGCTGACTCTAATTGCTAAGCTTGAAATTCACTGGTCATACAGAAAGCATTTTATCTGAACTTCCACATGCCAATTCTTTCCATTGGGATTTCTTGGTGTCCGGCTCCACCCCAGCCCACATGGCCATAAACACTTGTGTGTCTGAAGCCTGGCCCAGGGATTCCAGAAATAACATCAGGGCCCTACATTAGAAGCTAGAACATAGTAAGGCATTTTTGCATTGACACAGGCCCTTTGCAACCCAGGCCTCTCCTGTCCGTCAAAGCACAAAGCAACCTTTACAAGTCAGGACAGGGAGGAGCACGTAGGAGGGAGTTTAGATTTCTGGAAAGTCTGTACCTTCTCCTGCCATCTGTGTGAACTCTCAGATCTTCCATTCTAGAGATTCTCCAGATCTGCTCCAGCCCCCAATTAGATTTAAAATTCTTCCTTAGCTGCGGCATTCTTTGGCTTTTAAAGATCCACTCCCTTGGACGTGCTGGAACTAGAAAATCACAGCAGTGTGAGCCCAGATGGCAATTGTCAACCTAAGGTGGAACAGACGCCTCTCCCCAGATGTCCAGGGCAGTCACCTTATTTGTCAGGCACTGGGGGAAGTGCCAGGAGAGAAAGGAGTGGCTGGAGGCGTGTGCCCAGTTTCAAGAGAAAAGAAAGTGCTAGTGATGACTGGGAATGAGAGCCGTCTGGGGCAAACTTTCTCACTTCAGAAGGGTGTGCCCAGGAGAAAGTCCAAAGTGAACACCTAGGGAGAGAAGTTTAGGTTTTCAGTATCCTCTCAAAAATAATACCAGAAAATAAAACCCATGTACACAACGTGGGGGAAAAAATGTATTCAGCTATGTAACCTGGAAAGACTAGAACGAAATATCAGAACAGCTGATATTTCAGGGAGGGGTGTTTAATGGCTCTATGTCTCCAAATTAAGCCGACTGTCATTTCCCATTTTAAAGAAAATCAGAACATCTGGCCATTGCCGGAGACACCTGCCTGGACTTTCCTGGCGGGGGTGGGGGTGGGGGGGGTAATAAGGGAGTTTGGGTTTTAGGTGCCCGTCTGAAAACTTGAATTAATCACGTAAAGTCATCCTCAAGCCACTTTCTCCAGGAACGAATTCCTCTTTAATGGGGATGGGATTATTTCTAATTCGCAGCTCCAATCGCAACGTCATTAAAGGCTGGGTTCAGTGCGTGGAGCTGCAAACCTTTGTCACGAATAGGAAGGTGGAGGTAAAGAAAGGAGGTTGTGCAACGAAACAGCCTCTTAGGTCACCGTCCCAGGCCCTGCTCAGCAGGGCGAGCGGGGCCGCAGCTGCAGCAGCCCACACGGTGCCGTGCAGCATCTGCAGCGGTGCTGCAGCAGGGAGCCGCGGCCACCGCAGGAGGGGTGGTGCGAGCCTCCGGCTCCCGTGCCGCACCCACAAGTGCTGGGGGTGGCGGGGAGGATGAGGGGAGTTGGTAACAGCATCGCCATGGCAACAGTGACGTCCTTTTACCCTGGATCTAATTGGAGGAAACCCCGTGGCCGAAGCCGCAGCCTGCCGGCCAACCGAACTTGCCCAAGCCGACCCACCCTCCTAGCCTCCGCTTCCCCTCCCGCCCCGCCCCCTTTGCCCCCTTCCGCGCGCTCAGTCCTCATTGGCTGCCCGCGGGGCTGGGGGCGGGACTCTCGGGAGCAGCTCGGCGCGTCATTGGGCGGCAGGAGAGAGGGCAGCGGCGCGGCGGCCCGCCCCTCGGCTCCGGGGTAGGCTGAGACGGGAGGGTCCTCGGCTAAAGCCAAAAGCGGATCAAAGTGGTGGGACTCGCGCCGCGGCCGCGGAGACGTGAAGGTGAGCGCCGCGGCTGCCCCCGGCCGTCCTCGGGCCGGGCCGGGCCTGAGGGCAGGGCGGGAGGCCGGCCCCCGGGAGCGGCCGGCCTCGACGCCGCTCTCCTCGGGGACGGCCCGGCGGCAAGGTGTGGGCCAACGGCCGCTTCCATCTTGGGCCGGGCGGGCGCGGGAGTGGCCCTTCCTCCTCCCCTCGCCGCGGGCCGCCTCCGCGGGGCGCCCCGCGGTCTCCCGGGCGCCCGCGGGGAGCGTGGGCGGGGGAGGGAAATTCAACTGGGCGGTGCGTGCGGGGACGGACAAAAGGGGCGGCGGGCGGCGCGGGGCGGCGGGCGCATTGTCTGACGGCGCCGCCCCCGCCTTTCTGTCGGCGCGCTCGCCCGCCCGCCCGCCCGCAGGCCGTCCGCACGCCTCCTCCCGATCCGGGTCGGTGCTCGCCCTCGCTCGCTCTCCCCGTCCTCATGGAGAAGACCGAGCTGATCCAGAAGGCGAAGCTGGCCGAGCAGGCCGAGCGCTACGACGACATGGCCACCTGCATGAAGGCCGTGACCGAGCAGGGCGCCGAGCTGTCGAACGAGGAGCGCAACCTGCTCTCGGTGGCCTACAAGAACGTGGTCGGCGGCCGCAGGTCCGCCTGGAGGGTCATCTCGAGCATCGAGCAGAAGACCGACACCTCCGACAAGAAGTTGCAGCTGATTAAGGACTATCGGGAGAAAGTGGAGTCCGAGCTGAGGTCCATCTGCACCACGGTGCTGGTGAGTCCGCGCTCGTCGGGGTTGGGGGCGTTGGGGGGGGGGGGCGAGGGGAAGGGGCGGCGGGAGCCGGGGCGCCGAGGCCCTTTTGTGTGAGGCCTTTCACGGAGAATTTCACGGGAACGGGAAAGAAACGGGGCCGCGGCTTGCCCGGTTGTGCGCGACGTGGGGACGGTGTGCGAAGGTTCGCTTCGGCCTCCCTGATGGGCTGTTCTCGTTCCTGAGACTCAAAAAGCTGCTTCTCCAAGGGGGTGGGGGGGTGGAGCGGGTCTTGTCTCGGCCCCGATGCGGGGTTGCAACTACGCGGCGTAACTTCGAAACGTCCAAGTAGGTTTGTGCGAGACAGAAAACCGTTTCTAAGCTTCCTGAGGAGATCTGGGAACCCTTTAAATGTACGGACACAACTCACAGGCCCCCAGCCTTTTTGAGAGAAGGTGCGGGCACCTTTTCGATGGAGGCGGTGTGCGAATAGTGGGCTTTCCTCGTAAACCTAACCGTGGAAATTTACTTAGAAAATCCCCACAGACCCTTCATTTTTTCAGGTAAGAGCAGCTGCTGAGCATTTCCGTGTTAAAAGAAACGGAGGGGGTGGGGAGAGTTCGGGAACGGTGAAAAGGGGACGCTGTAAGTCGAAAAGAACAAAATGTCCTGATAGATTTCAGATAAATTTCAGAATTTGGTGACATTTTCTGGCTCTCGTTTGGTTACGCTGAAACGCTAACGCAGCGTGCCAGATTCCTTCCTGGTGTGGAGCGGGCGGGGCAAGCTTTTCAGGTTTTGAACTGTCCAGTTTTCGCAAGGGTGGCGATTGGGCGGGGTAGGTGATTGCTCTGATTCACTCTTATTAGTGAGGGAGAACGGTTTTAGCTTTGTCATTGCATGGATCTCTTGATCGATAACATCAGTTGTTAAGTTTCAAATGCCAGTGTTGCACCCTGGAGTGTGTTTGTTTTTTAAGTACTACATTTACGAAAAGCTTACTGATTTTTAACGTTTTAGGTAGGCTTTGAAAGGCAAGCGTGCTAGATTGGTGATTTATTCAGGAGGGGGTTGAGGGGGGACAGTGCCTCTTTCCTTCCCAGCCTTCTCTTCCTTGCCCCATCGGATAACGTGGCGGGTGGGGGGAGGTTTTTTTTTTTTTTTTTTTAAATCTTATACAAATAATGGTTGATCTGGTCAAAATCATGGCTGATGGAGGTTAGCAGGTAAAGGGGCAATGCAGAGCGTGTACTTTGTGTTTTATTTATCAGTCTCCTTAGCTTCCACACTCTGCTTGGCATGGAGGGAGCACTTGAAAAGCTTTTTGAGGGGCGCCTGAGTGGCTCAGCCCTCCGACTTCTACTCAGGTCCTGACTGCTTGAGCCCGCGTTGGGCTGTGTGCTGACACCTCGGAGCCTGGAGCCTGTTTCGGATTCTGTGTGCCCCCCGCCTCTCCTCTGCTTGCGCTCTGTCTCTCAAAAATAAACACTAAAAAAATAAAGCTCGTTGAACTGAATCGCTGCTTGTCTTCACGAAATTTGCCTACTTGAAAGTGATGGTAGACTCGAATAGCGTGTGGTGATGGGTACTGACAGCATTGACTCTGTTAGCGAAGGAAGACTCCGACAGATCGCTGACGCAAAGGAGAACTTTTCTAGTATGTAGTACTTGCTTGGGTGGCTCCCGCAGCACGTTTCAGCCTCTTTCTTGTTCGGTTATTACTTTGCACTTTGTTGGTTGCCTTGCAGCAATTCAGAATTACCACAGAGCTTTTCCTGTTATCTAGCAAGTGAACTGTGGGCCAAAGGAATATTTGTTTTAGTTCGTGGCTCTTATAAATTTGGTTTTTATGATGGCACGAGTAGAGAGAGTTTTGTTTAGTTGATAAGTGACTTGAAAGAGAGACTTGAGAGAGGGATATTAAAGTAGACTTTTGTGCAGATCGTTTCAGTAAGAGAAGCCCTGAAATGAGGACAATTTTTTAAATACCTAGTGAAATAGAAGAGTTTAACTTGATTAGTTGGAGACACCAGGGTGTAAGATATTTTTATTAATAAAATGGCTTGACAAACTAACTGTGACTTGGTGGGTAGCCCATAAAGAAATCTTGGGAAAGCCCATCTTCCAGTTGGCGACTGCATTCGAGGGTTTGGTATGTACAGGGCACTGTGCTAAGCAGGATGGGGAAGAACATAGATTTTGCCTTCTGATAGTTTATGGTAAGGAGTGCATGTGAGAAATACCTAGATACATAATTTCCATAAGAAGGTTATGAACAAAATGCTGCATAGTTCAAAGAAGACTGAAACCTCAGGAACAGCCTCTCAAAGCGGGGTTTTTGCAGTGAGCCCTGGTGGAGAATCTGCAAAGGGAGGTAGGAACTCCATAAGAGAAGGTCATAGTTTTCCTCATTTGGTTGACAGTGGGGGGCGGGGGGCATTGAAGATTTTTGAATGGGTTTTGAATGGCATATGTGTACGCAGATCTAGAATTCATGGTTTGAGTGCTAATTACCAGTCTGTAATCCGAACTCAGAGACAAGGAAGTGATAGATCAGTGAGCAAGAGTCTGATGATTGATAAATTAGTAATTCAATGGAGAGTTTATGAAAACAATGAAGATTGAAACATGAGGTTTCTGAATATGGACATTATAACGAGATTTTTCTCTTTTTTCACTTTGGTGAACAGGAAGGCAAATTTGGTGTGGAGAAAGTAGGTGAAACTGACTTATATGTTATAGAAGACTAATTAGAGAGTGACCTGAACGATAGGCAAAATTTTGGCCCTAAATAGCAGAGATTTTCAGCCTCTTTCCCTTTTATTAGAGTAGTAGGTTAGGGGTGGAATTATTTGGACTGTTTATTCAAAATGGCCTTGGTGGACAACTCTTTAATTCTTTTTATTTTTTGTTTAAAAAAATTTTTTAATGTTTATCCTTGAGAGAAAGAGAGTGAGCAAGCAAGCATGAGCGGGGGAAGGGCAGAGAGAGAGGGAGGCACAGAATAGAAGCAGGCTCTGAGCTATCAGCACAGAGCCCCATGCGGAGCTCGAACCCGTGAATCTGGAGATCATGACATGAGCTGTAGTTGGATGCCCAAAAAACTGAGCACCCAGGCATCCCTCTTTAGCTCTTTTGATAAAAACACTATATTGAGAGAGGATACTGAACTGGAGAGGCAGAAAGAATGTTAAAATCCAAATGAATAATTGAAAGAGCACAGGAGGATGAGAAGGCCCAAATGGCCAAGACCAAACTCTTTATAGAATCTTAGAGAAGTTAAAAAGATTTCACTAAGTTACATGTCTCGCTTGTGAAACCGGAGGGTTGGACTTAATTTCTGGGGTCTCTTCTCATTCTAATTTTGGGGACTATGAAGTTAATTTAGGTCATGGCTATTCTACCTGTGTTCTGACTTTCTCTTAGCTCTAAAATGAGTAATATTTAAAGTCCAGGTCGAAGAATATGTCGATAGTGTATGAAATGTTGGAAAAACTAATGGTAGTGAAATGGTTTTGGGAGGAGGGGGTGCATGAGTTATCGGTTTATTGGGAATAGCAGAGTTAAAGCAATAAAGAGTAGTAAGTTGAATGACAACCAAGCATGTGTGTAAATAGCACGTGTGAGGTGTTTGGGAGTCATTAAGAACTTGGGTGTGAGGTTAGGGCAAATCAAATAAAACAGTCACCCAAACCTTCTGAGACTTGGGAACAAAATCTGTCATTTACAAAATCGGCGACCTTGGAGTCAGAACAGGACACTCAATACATACAAGGTAATCTCTGTCTCAGACAGTCTCATGTTTCATGTCACTAATTTTAATAAGCTCCTTCAGTATAACCTAAACAATATCAGAAAGTAAAGTG